AAGCAGTGGTATCAACGCAGAGTACTCCATCGGATATGAACGGAATGCAGAATGATACCTTATCCTTATCTTCAGGGGAACTGCCAAGCAGCCTGCCGCTGCAGCGTACTCTTGCGCTCTTATATGGAGAATACCCATTTGCCTGCGCTATCTGAATAGCCTTTTGAACCGCCGCAGCTTTGAGATGGTCATCCGATGACACCGCTTTAACCGTTCGCAACATGTTTCTAATAACGCTTTGCTTTGTGCGTACTGGATGCGTAGAAGAGTGGTGTATGAGTATGTTCTTACTGCTTGGTTTCCTGTACCAGCTAGTCTTACACTCCCCCTTGCTCAGATGTAATTGAACATTTAAAAATGGAAGCCAGCCGTCTTTTGGTTTTTCCCTGGTGAACCTTACGTCAGCTGATTGACTGTTGAGTAGGTCGAAACAGGTATCCATTTCTGCCTGGGTCGAACACACGATGAGGCAGTCATCGACGTAACGACAATAGAAAGTAGGTGTGCATAAAACTGGATGTTCCCCGCGGTCGCACGTAAAATTGTGGGTAATCTCCAACACGTACAAGATCGCCTGCGATACCGGGCTAGATTGGAAACGCAGCAAGTCAATCATCAATCGATAACTACCACCTTGCCTAGAGTGCCATTCCCGTCCATGTTCTTTAAGCCGCAAGAGCCAGTACCCTCAGTAGACGCTCCTTTCCGGGTTTTCGCAACATCGGTTTTTACTGTGCTCAAACGATACGTGCATATGCGCCAGGCGCCCAATTTATCAGCTGCGCAAAAGAGGGGTCTCAAAGAACTTCGGGATTTAGCTATCTCAAATATCATCAAAATAGCAGTCAGCGATAAAGGGGGGCGAATTTGTGGTACTACCCAAAGAGCTGGAGATGGCGATTACAAAACAACATCTTGAGGACGTAACGACATATTGCGAATCGTCGGAAAAAAAATACACGAGACAGTATCGAAAACTCAACAGACTATGGGTAGAAACAGCGCAGGCGGCCGGCCTGTCTGAGCACATAGTGTCACGCTTAAAGTCTGATCTACCAGTGTGTCCTGTCCTCTATGTCCTCATAAAAACACATAAGATACCCCCTGAATTGCTATCTTCTAGAGACCCATCGAACTTCAAAGTTCGACCCATCATAAGCAACGTCGGAGGTCCTACGGACAGGATCGCTTGGCTTCTTAATCTTATCCTCACACAGTTATTGCAATATGTCCCAGCGCACTTGACTAGTACAAATGCTCTACTGGACCATCTACGAAACACGCATTTCAGTTCGGGCGAAGTCGTTGAATCCTTTGATGTTACTTCTCTTTACACTAATGTGTCGAACTCTGCCGCGCTACAAGTAGTATTTGAGCTGTTGAGCGAAAATACCGCAAGTATAAGCTTGTACGGTTTCACAACCCAGCGAATTATGACGCTGCTCAAAGACTGTCTCGACTGCGCAATATTTCGTTGGTCCGGGCAGTAATACCGGCAGATCGCTGGGGGGCTTGCCATGGGACAACGCTTAGCACCTGTGTTGGCTGTTACCTTCATGTCGAAAGTAGAACATCCAGTTTTATGCCGCACACCTACTTTCTATTGTCGTTACATCGATGACTGCCTCATCGTGTGTTCGACCCAGGCAGAAATGGATACCTGTTTCGACCTACTCAACAGTCAATCAGCTGACATAAGGTTCACCAGGGAAAAACCAAAAGACGGCTGGCTTCCATTTTTAAATGTTCAATTACATCTGAGCAAGGGGGACTGTAAGACTAGCTGGTACAGGAAACCAAGCAGTAAGAACATACTCATACACCACTCTTCTACGCATCCAGTACGCACAAAGCAAAGCGTTATTAGAAACATGTTGCGAACGGTTATAGCGGTGTCATCGGATGACCATCTCAAAGCTGCGGCGGTTCAAAAGGCTATTCAGATAGCGCAGGCAAATGGGTATTCTCCATATAAGAGCGCAAGAGTACGCTGCAGCGGCAGGCTGCTTGGCAGTTCCCCTGAAGATAAGGATAAGGTATCATTCTGCATTCCGTTCATATCCGATGGGTTTAGTAGCGAAATTAGAGCGTGCGTGCGAAAATCAGGCTTGCAGGACTCGCTACGAGTAGTTGAAGTTCCTCCTCCTAATCTCAGGCAACGTTTGGTTCGCAACAGAGCGTACGAGAGAACCTGTGAAACAAGGGACTGCATCATCTGTACCACCAACAGGCCTGGGGATTGTATGTGCTCTGGCGTCATATACCTGATTACATGCAAGTTATGCCGGGCTGATTACATAGGAGAAACGGGAAGACCACTGTGCCTGCGGATAAAAGAACACTTGGACGGGTTGCGCAAATCAAGGCTCTCAACACCCCTAGGCACGCATCGTAAGCTGCAGCACCACAACACAGAATTCGACGTCTCAGTGTCAATTCTGTCTAGAGAAACAGAGGTTGCGGCACGCAAAACATTAGAGGCCTGCTGGATTTCGAATAGAAATCCAGCAGATGAACAGAAAAGACGAGTGCATTGCCATAACTAATGAGCTCGCGCCGTTCCTTGACTTATGCGGGTTTGACCTACCATCTCCAAGTCAGGAACCCTAACTCACTCAGTCATTGTATGTCACTCGGTGGTGGGTGGTCTCGACCTCAAGTTTAAAGGCAGTGTCCGGGCAGAAACTCGATTTTGAGATTTTGTGCTTACCCGGGCCTATTCGCTATGCTGAATCCGAAAATCCACATTGGAGAGCGCGAAAACGACGAAAAAGGGCTCTAACACTGGAGGGAAATCAGCAAGTGGGTGGGGTCTTCCCCACGGTGAATTCACGCTCCCAGCTTCGGGGGCGATCTTTTTGATTCCGGTTTCAAGTCATTCGTTTGCACTTGATCGGTAGTGATGTCAGGGCGGCTAACGGATTCGAGAAAATTGCTTTGGAAGCTGGGACCGCAAAATTCGCATTGGGGAAAACCCCGCCCACTCCTGATTTCCTTCCAGTGTTAGTGCCCTTTTTCGTCGTTTTCGCGCTTTCCAATGTGGAATTTCGGATTCAGCATAGCGAATAGGCCCAGGTAAGCACAAAATCTCGAAATCGAGTTTTTGCCCGGACACTGCCTTTAAGGTGAGCTGTTCGACCTAGGTGTCGTTTCGTACAACTTTTTGTCTTTTTCCTGCAAGATGACAAGGCGTTTGGGCGAGTAGATCTCATATGTTACTCACTTATTACAGGCTCTGACGAAGGCGAGTTGGCCGAAACGTTAGCCTAATAAACGTTATACCAATCTTGGTGAAGGCTTACACATTTTACAAAGGATACTCTGAATATGCCAAGATTCACCGAAAGTCGTACATGGAATTTATCGATTTTTATCGATTTTTTTGCTGAGTTCACCTACAGGGCTGGGAGTTGGCATAGGGGGGTAAGTGAGCATGGCGATTCCGAATACAATTTTAGTTTTTGACATTACCTATTACTTTAATCGATTTTATCGGTTTTTTTCCAAATTTAAGCTGAAGGGCTGGGAGTTGGCACGGAGGTAAGTGGGCATGCTGATTTCGAAGACAACACAAGGAACGGGAACTGAAGTGTAGAAGTGGGCACAGGGAAAGGCTGTACAGGGATAGGGATGGGACCTTTATTACAGTGTTTTGACAGGGCCGAGAGGAGCCGGGTAAGCAAGTTAGTTTTCTATAAAATTGAATGAATACTTACAACCGTTTCACTGAATAGCCTAGCTGTATGCTGAATGTGAAACGGTTCAGATTAGGCTGGCTAAAAGGTAATTTCATTCTTGTATTTTTTATTGACGGTTTCTGAAGTGATTCAAACTCGCATTATATGTATCTCAACTAATCGGTTTTTTGTATTATCAGTAAAAAACAGCGATGTCCTGATATGGCCAAATTTTTCTTTGACTTTTTAAGCTTCATTGTCATGCTTTGATGGTTTAGTTGAATGATTTGGTATTTGGTTGCATCCAACTTTTTTTCTATCCAAACGGAATTCTTGGGTTAGAAAAACGAAATTTTCTCGCATTTGCGCATAATGAGAAAGTTGGAATTTTCCACTTCTTTGCGCCTTTCTTTCGTAGCGGAAATAAATTTTATTCAAACAGTATATAAATATCATTCTCCAAAGTACTCTTTAGATATCAACTACTGCACAAAAACTTGTCTCCATGCTTTTAGGAACCTAACAGTAGGAGCTCAGAAATCGACACCCGCTTAAACCATGACAACAAAGGCCAAACTATATACCAGACCCAACTGACCATCAATCGCAATAATTTTTCTTTATTGAACACATTTCACGGATGGAGATGGTTAGCTCTACAGTACAGGTAGCCGTCTCTGTCATTTCCTTGACAAATTTTACTGCATTGAAAACGATTTTTGAGCACATTAAATCCGTTCTCAAGATGGCTGTAAGCTTCACGCAACTGATTCATTAAGATTACTGCATTGTTTCTAAACCATAATCATTGTCGCGGTCAGAGACCAGGCGGACGCGATGTTGGCCATGGTTTCAGCAGAGAAGCAGTGTCGTAAACAAGGATTCGATGGTCTTTGAACATTTCGCTAGCATCTCCTATGTACGTGGCCTTATTGATGTTCTCCAGACCACTCAATAATGCTGTTTTTTCATTTGTTCATATCGAATTTTAGAAAACGAGCCTGAAATAATTTTTTTCAGATAACTGTTAGTTGCTGTGGCGTCCAGATCAGTAATATTGGCACAGAATAGTGTAAAGTTGTTGAATTTCCTGGAGCAAAAAGCATCCACTCTGGCCTTGCACAGTGCAGTAAGATCCGCGATGTCGGGGACAAGGCCCAAGGTGTGGTTGGCGCAACCATGGAAAAAGTGAGCAAAGCTGGAGAAGCTATCAAGGAGAAGGTGAAGGCTAAGTACGAGGAGGTAAGTTCATAGTAGTAATCAAGTTTCCTCTTTTAGTAGCTGATTATACTAGGTTGCGCCAGCTGGACAAGGCAATAGGTTCATGGAAGAAACAGGCTATGAAAATGTAATTTACCACAGGCTCCGTTTTTTTTCAACTTTTCAAGAAAGCACTTCTTCATCATAGGCGAAACCCTGAGGGTGGTGTGAGTTTCGATCCTAATCCGGACTGTATATGATCATTACGTTACGGTCTATGACATTTATCGTTGTGATCTAGGTTCGTCAGACAGAAAAGGATATTCGCCGAGAAACAGAACGAAGGATGGAACATGCTAAGAAGATAGTAGAGGAGAAAGTAGGTTTGGGTGCCCTTCATAAACAAACTGTTGCTAAAGATAGTGTTTAGAACAACCATTGAAGCGAATTCTGGAGTTGTCAGTAGTTTAGTGAGGATGGTTTCGTTTTCTGTACAGATCCGAATGTGATTGTTCTTGCTTTCATAGTTTTTCTCAATAAATTGAATAAAACTTGTGATCAAGTGATTAACAATAGACCATCGTTCATGTAAGAACGACAGCTAAAGGAAATAAGCTTGCATCATGCACTGAAAAGAGATGTAAAAGAACATAATGAATTGTTCCTGATTCCGGCGAATGCCTGCAATATGGAGAACAAATTTTTTGATTCATGTTGCTTCCATCGTCCAAGTGCCCAAAATAGTCAATCATCCTAAGCTGTTCTCTTTCATGCGTCTGTCAATGCCGTGCTGGTAGATGCTTGAAACTTCACATATGCATCCTTGCAGGCTTTCAGCAATTTTGGCGTTTGGGTTTGGCATAGGGAGGCACGTGAGTGTGCTGACTGTAACGAGTGTAAGTGAAAAAATGCTAGTTATTGATAAAGATTCTTCATCGTTTCTTATTGACTTCTTGCGAACACTGAGCTGAGAACATGGGAGTTATAATATTGAAGGGGAGGAGGTGAGTGAGCATATGTGGAGAAGATTAGCTTAGAACAACTCCATGTATTTAACGATTCCAATGATCACCCTTAGGTTGAAACGCTGGAGGTTGTTACACCGGGGTGAGGGTTGCTGATTACGAAGACGTAGTGAGGACAGGGAACTGGGATACAACTGACACAGGCGCGAAAACGAAATATTGTTTGTGAGTGGGACGAAATGATTTCTATAAGGAACATTAAGGATCAATTAAGGAACATCTCAACATTAACCGAGCTGGGTATGCCAGCAAATTTCAGATATAGTTGTTCCAGATATTGGATAAATCATTCGAATATGCAGGGTGTCCCGAAAAATGTTAACACTGTTTTATCGGTAATAACTCTCTTGCTTTGAAGTCTTTCGCGGAGCTTGAGGCATTCTGTAGAGCAAGGTTCAACTTAGATTTTCAGCATGGACCGAATCATCAATAACCCTCCACTACTGTAGGATTACGGTAGGATAGAGAAGAATTTTGGAAAACTGAAAGCGATTTCTGCCTCGGGAGGAAAACAAACAAGCCAGAGACTATTGTACCGGACTAATCGAAGTCGCTGATTCTAAATATGAAATTTGCGTTTCACTGTAATGCTTCTTTCACGAGTTATTTCAGGTTTAGTGTAACAACCTTTTTTTTAATGTTCGTCAGGAGTGTGATTACACCATTGAAAGAGCCCAAAAAACTGGTGAAAAGTTGTGTAGTGAAATCAGCACGCCTGAAAACCTTACTACACAATTTTCCAGATTTTTTGGACTTCCGTCAAAAGGCTTACTCCATGGTGGCTCTTCATGCTGAAAGTTCATACCGTAATCCTACAGTAATAAAGAGCGATCGATAATTCGGTCCATGCTGTAAATCTGAGTTGAACCTCGCTCTATAGAATGGTTCCGCAAGCTGAAAGACTTCAAAGCAAGAAAGTTAACCGATCAAGTCAATGCGCCTCATGTTGTGTCATCTAAGGTGGGTTCTGGCAGTCCGTTAATCTACTAGGCTGTTGCATAAGTTCTGTCCGATTTGAATTTTTGAGTTTAAAATGTCATAACTTCTTTCAGAGTCAACTTTTTTCCAAGGTCTTGGTTTCTATGTGTTGAGCAGTCCCTTGGCTAAAAAATGCATATTGAGATCTGCGCAAATCTTTGTTAAGGAAGAACCAAGAATGCAAAAACTTCGCAGCGTTTTTCTTCGAATCTGTCTTTTTTGACATGGTAACGCTCCCTTATGAAAATTGATAGGCATCTTTTCTAATAATGGATGGATAGAGAAATTTTCGTAGATTATTATGCAACATAAAAGAGCCCATAGGGTTTGCGCTGCCGAGAGATTTTCTTGACCGAACAAAAAATTAGTCACTTTTTGACCTCGCTTCAGCACATGTGTGCATGCCTATTTATGAACTACGAACGTTTTACAACTGACGTGAGCGCCGAAAAGGAATTGGTGGATGGGCCCTGTTAGCTCTTGCTTTGCCCTAGCACCTCCAACTTTGAGCTTGTCGATTACTTCTATTCGCAGAAAGTTATTGCTTGTAAAACATCTATACCAAAGATTTATGTTCGAGGATAAATTTCACTAGCAAGACGTATTCTTCATGGGACCGAACTTCTGCATATACTAGCATTCCATACCCTTATTCCGAAGCCAATGAAAGAACCTGACTTGAAGGGCGCATTGTGGAGATATCCTCGCAAGGACATATTTCTAGGGATAGAACGTACCTCGGCCACTTAGAGATTTTAGGCCTGTGATCTCCGTACACTAAGAATTTTATTGAATTCTGGTATGCTTTAGAAAGCGCAAGGAAAGCACTTTTCAATGATACCAACCGTATCGAATTAGAGATGAAATTCTCTTAGAACAGCTGCTTCAAACATGAGGCAAAAAAATCGGACAGAACTTATGCAACAGCCTAGTACCTTGGCTTTCGTACTGGTCACGAATTGAATAATATCTTGAGCCATGATGTTGGCGTCTGAGTGGATGTGTCACTTACGCATTCGACTTTCCAGGCTCTGACGAAGGCGAAAAAGCCGAAACGTTGGCCGGTTGAATAAAAAGTCATAACATCTTGTTGCTGCTCAAAGAGAAGACACAGCATTATATACTACAATGTTAAGATTATTAAACAGCCGAAGTTGGACCATAAAGCAAGAGAGTTATTAAAGATCAAACAGTGGCATTTTTTGGGACACCGTTTATATATTATTAGGTCGTTCCATAAGTTCGTAGCGTTTTTATTCTCGTCGTCGTTTTCTGGTGAAGCGGTTAGTTTACGGCAAAGTATCTGTACTATCTAAAAGAGCCAATTTCGCTCTACAAGACCTGTGCTTTATTTTCGAAGTGAACCTAATGGCCTTCGTTTTGTAAATGCTCAAAGCGAAGTTTTTTGTATAGCAAAAAACGGCGTTTTCGGCATCTGCATCTTTGGCTCCATATGCTGAAATCACCAGAGGAAATTTTTCTTGTGAAATTGTTATGAGTGATGAGGAACACTGTTTACCGGACTATGATGCACAGAAAAATAGATTTCTTGTTATGGGAGACACTCTAGAGAAGGATAGAGCCCACTTTTACTGTATGTGTAGATGATTTGCGTTTGGAGGGATTGATGGAGTTTTCTAAGCCAAAATTTTTTGGGAAAGTTTAAAATCGCTGGTCAGCGCTTGCATTCGGACTTTTGTGCCACTTAGGCAAAGCTTTTCATCCTCAAGGCCTGACAGCAGAACGGGAACATTCTGTTGCGAAACAACGCGTAAAACTCAAGCTGCAGCCGTCGAAGATTGCAGCTATTGGGACCTCGCTCAAACAGTTTTAGCATAATGGCTGGACACCATTGTGTCAGCACATCAGCCTTGCTTGCTAGTAGCTATTCCTTCACGTGCAGGGAAATATTTGTGGGATAAGGACAGAATGCGAAAAATACGTCGAAATGCTATTTTCTGCCACTCAAAAATTTTACTTTAAGAAGTTATAAACCGAAGATCATTAGAATTGCTTCGAAAATAAAAAGCAGGTTTTGTAGAGCAAATTTAGCTCTCTCGAATAATACCAGATATTTTGTCGTAAACCAACTGCTCCACCTGAAAACCACGACAAAAATAAAAACGCTACGAACTTGTGGAACGACCTAATAGAATGGTTCATGCAAATGTCTAGCCATTCGAATAAATCATTCGAATCAATGTTCATTTATTCAGAATTCGTTCATTCAAAATTTTTGACTTTGTTTGTCATTCGTTTATTCGTTTTACCTTCGGAATTTTCGATTCTCGAATATTACTCTAAAGGCTGCTGCATGATGAAGGCGCAGGAGACGGATAGATTGAGCGGTCGCGCAGACCTGCGGCGCGGCCAAAGTCCTCTGCGGGGGCGCACGCCGCGGGTCATTCGCCAATTTCGATGAAGATGGCATGCAAATTCCCTTCTTTGTTCTGTTTTCTCTATATTGCTTCCATGAGGAAAGTGGATCCCTCACTCTGCATTGCGTCAAGTGTTCAAAACATCACTTTCACGCTTTACATTTTCTGATGGCTTCCCGATTGAGTAGTGAACGGGCTTTGGGCTTATCGCACTTGGTACTTACAGGGAGAGGATAGTTAGTCGAAAGCATCAATCTAGATGAGACATAGATCGTCTTAAAGTGCTTGGAACGCTGATTCCAAATCAAATTAAAAAATAAATTCATCTATCCACTGCTGAATTTTCCGGGCCTGGCGAATTCTGTGTTGTGAGGATTGGGATGCTGAAATACGGAATTCGATAGCACCGGAATTGAGAAGCCAGTTAAAGTGCAAAGAATGTATCGTATTGCACTTTTTTATTCTATCCAACACTTATCAAAGCTAGGCCAAAAGGTAAAATTGGAAATCATAAAAAACAGCCAGACCTTGAGTAGAAATTATGGGTTGAAGATTCTGACGATCATTCGAGCGGACATCAAGGGACTCTGAACAAAGCATCACCGTTGGAAAGAGGAAGAAGTTCTGCATTGAACACTATTTAGACGTTTGCTTATCATAATTCTGAGTGATTTGAGCATGGGTCTGATAAAAGTCAGGAACTTTCGGAACGACCTAATATCAGATGGTCCCATAAGCCTTCAAATTCAACCGCGATAAGTCATACACCTTATTTTTGAGTAGATTTAAAGTACCGGTAGATAGAGCAAAGCAAGCTCTACAGGATGGTTCTCTTGCATTTACACCAGCTTTGATCAAGCGTAAGCTTGACGCCAAAGACTGCAATGATCCAACTGCCCGAAAAATCGAAAAAAAACGTAACTCCGTCCAAAAAAATACACAAAAGCAGTGGTATCAACGCAGAGTACTCTCCACATCAAACATTTATATACACTGTCGCTGTGTTTTATTCTCGGTTAGAAAACAAGGAACCAAAAATTTTCATGTTT